GTGCCAGAAGCCTCTTCTGAAGTTTGCGCTCCAGAAGCCAGCTCCTTTCAGGTAGTTGCACAGTTCAGCCCCTGAACCAGAGCGAAAACCCTCCAAGGGGGAATTCGCCCTCACCGACTAGAACCAGAGAACAAACAGCCCTCCGGGGCGCGGTGCAGTGGCAGGAACGGCAGGCCCGGCTAGGCGGGGTCAAGGGCAACGGCAATCCCTAGCAAGGCCAAGCACTTTGGTGTTCTGGGCAGGGGAAGCTGTGTCACAGATGTCTTTTCTCGTGGGGTCTTGATCTGGTTGTGGCATCAGGGGAGCGCTGGCTCCCTGAAACGCGTCAGGATACGCGGACTCCTCTTCAATTTTCTGGAAGACTTCCGAGAATCAGTGCTATTCGGCTTCGAGATGTTCGGGGGCGCTCGCCAGCAAAGCCACCTGAACTTCCCTTGCGAGAAGGTTTTCAACTACAAAATGAGCATCTTTAAACGTGTCTTCCTTCTTCCTTGAGTGTCTTTGGTGGCTGGAGTCCTTCGGGACGGCCCATTATCTGGCACAACAAGCGCACCGCGGCACACTCAGGCAGGGACTTCAAGACTTGTGTCCAGGCTGCGGGTTGCCTGGGGGCGGGGCTGGGGGCGGGGCGAAGGGGCGGGGAAGGACCGACTGGGAGTCACAGCCCAGTCGCGGAACGCAAAGCGCAGCACCGGGAATGCGGTGGATAATTCTGTGACAGCCATGTGAGGCGCCAGGCGGGCGCTGGAAGCAGACTTTGTAAGTGTGGGGTTGTCTGCCCGCTATGCTGAACACCTGAAACTGATACACAATAGTGTTCAACGCGAAGTGCAATGGGAAAAACATCTCAGAAAAAGATAACGTGTTTTGCAGTGTTTCTAACAGAGCAGGTGCTTAGAAAATTATAGTCATTCTTATTGTTACCTTCTAAAGAGAAAAAGAACAGTCTCTGGCTAAGACAAAAAGAAAGGTCTCTAGGTTAATTTTGCTCAAACATCCATGCTGCAGCATGACAGGAATTCAAAAGGCCCAAATTCTAGCACTCGGGAAGAATAAAAACTTCAACACGGAACCCCAGGGGCTTTCCATTGCACCCCTTTCATCTTCTTTTAGCTAATAGATCTTTTAGGCGCAAGCGAGCGTGTTTTCTAAGACTGGCTCCACGTCTCCCGTCTGGATACGGACATGCCTGGAGGTCCGTTTCCGCAGCGCTGCAGGGAGCAGCGGGCGACCGGCTCTGCCGGCGTCGAGGCTCCGGGAGCAGCGTCGCTGCAAGTCGGCGCCCTGCGTTCTGGGGCACCCTTCTCGTGGGCCCTTCCAATGGTTCTGTCACGGTCAGCTAGGCCCTTTGATGCAGCGGCAGGGCAAGTCACACCGTGTCCACCCGCGTCTTCCCGTTCTGGATGGCCTGGGTGGCTGATTCCCCGGCGCCTTCGGATGGAGGCCTTGAAAGGAAACTCTGAGACGTCGACCCCAGACGGGGTTCTCCCGGGGGCATCCGTCTGCCCTCCTCACTGGTTTTGGAATGCAGGCAAAGGAAGGGTAAATGCTTTGCCGGGGTCAAAATGCTAGGAAGCAGAACTGGGATTTCAATGTGGGCCCTCCCCCAGGGCTCATGTAGTCCTTAAACAAAGTTCAACAATTTAGAGTTATAACTGACCAAATTGTAAGATGTTTAAAGTGTACCTCATGGTGATTTGATATACGTTGTGACAGGATCTCCCTCCCCACACACACACACACTAATGTAGTTAATTAACACGTCCATCGCTTTACCTTTTAACAATTTTATTTATTTATCTATCTATCTATCTATTTATTTATTTATAGACAGAGGGGAAAAGAGGGAGAAAGAGAGGGAGAGAAACACCAATGTATAGTTGCCTCTCATGCTCCCCCAACTGGGGACCTGGCCCACCATCCAAGAACGTGCCCTGACTGGGAATGGAACTTGTGACTCTGGTTCTCAGGCTGGCACTCAGCCCACTGAGCCACACCAGCCAGGACATCATTGCTTTACATTTTACTTTATTTTGGTGAGAACATTTAAGTTCTCTCTTAGCAAATGTCAATGATACAATACATTGTTGTCGACTGTCGTCACCACGTTGCACATCATATCCTCAGACCCTGGATTCCCGGTCAGGACGCATCCTGGGCTGCGGTTCCATCCCTGGTCGGGTCGTGCGCAGGAGGCAGCCAAGCGACGGACGTTTCTCTCCCATCGATGTTTTTCTCCTTCTCTCCCCCACCATTCTCCCTCTCTAACCACCTCAAAGAGTATGTCCTTGGGTGACGATAAAAAAAATGAAAATAATTTAACATGCACATTTATGTTCTACACCTGTTTTTGGTGTGTGTATTATTTTTCACCAATATAACAACCCCACACCTGTACACACACAGGAAATAGTGAGGGGGAATCTGCTTCAGTGAACTGGTTAGGGACAGTCTCTCTGAACACAGAGAGGTTATTTTTATATTCTGGCATTGTACATTATTTTTATAATTATAATATGTAAAAATATGTCATGAACTCAGCAAATAAGAGGGCTGTGTCCCACCTCAGGGTGCTGGCAGTTTTCAGAGAGGTCCCTGAGCATGGCCTCCACGTACTGTGAGTCCACCTCGCAGAGCAGATGAGGAGTCCCTAATCTGTCCTTAGCTGCGGTCACCCTTAGAAAGAGTCCTTCGGGTGATAGCCAGGCTTGTTGGCAGCAGACTGAAGCACAGGACATTTCCTTTAAGATGCAAGCTGCAACCGGAGCGACGGATGAGCTATTGGCTACTTATTCTCCCTTGAGAATAACCCTAGACCCAGCCCCCTGGTCACCTCAGTGTCCAAGTTACCTTCTCCCCACCTCAGAGTCACAGGAAGAGACTCTCCAGGGACCTGTGGACGTTTTGAACAATTCTGAGATCCCCAGAAAATCCTTAGGGGTGGCGAGTCTCGCGGTAGAAACTCCCACCGATGCTCCCCAGAGATGCTTGGTCTATGCTCTTTACTGGATCTGCACGTACTGCCAGAAAATTTTCTGCCTTCGTCTCCTTCAAGGGGGTAGAGCGTCCCTGGCTTCCACAGGTCCCAGTCACCCAGAACTGTGCTACTTACTCACTTGCATCAGGGAAAAGGGACGGGCTGTTCTGATCTGACTGTTCTGTCCAACCCTGATCTAGAAGAAACTGTTCTTTCCCTGCTGGGTCACTGGCGTATGTCCCACGGGTACTGGGAGAACCCAGGAGCCCAAGGCTGTTGGTGCCTCATAGGAAGAGTGACTGAGGGTCTTCGTCCTGTTGACTCACCTGACCGCCTGCGGGGCCCTCCTGAGCTGAGGGCTCCTTCCCCAAGTCCTGGTCCCCACCCCTGGCCCCATCGCCCTATTCAAAAAGGTCATGAGGAGAAACTGTCTCGATTAGCAATACATTGCAGGATATTTTGCTGTATTTTCCCTGTGGAGAATAGATGTTTCTTTTGAAAGTAACGATAATAAGACAGTAAGTCTCCACACAAGAAACATCATTTTTTAAAGTTTTTTAAAAGATTTTATTTATTTATTTTTAGAGAGGGAAGGGAGGGAGAGAGAGAGAGACAGAGAGAGAGAGAGAAGCACCAATGTGCGGTTGCTGGGGGCCATGGCCTACAACCCTGACTGTGCCCTGGCTGGGAATCAAACCTGCAACACTTTGTTTTGCAGCCCGCGCTCAATCCACTGAGCTATGCCAGCCAGGGCTTAGAAACATCATTTTTATTATTTTACCTAATAGCAGAGATGCAAAGCAAACATCCTAGTCCACCATCTAAACGGCTTCTGATCACACGCATACAGACCTAAATGGAGACCTTCTAGTCACCCTCGGCTGGGCTGAACCTTGGGCTGTACATCCAGTTTACGTGCACCTGGGGCACCTCTGCTGGGGAGAGGGGCGTCACGAGTACACGGACCACACAGACTGAAACGAAGTCTAGAGCCATCGGCAAAAGGGATTCATTCTTGAACACTTTTAAGTCAGGGGTCTGAGATGTATGACATGAAAATCATGATTTGGGGGTGCCCTAAAAGGGTAAGAAAGAGGATTAGAGGTGTGGAGATGAGGAATGGAGTGGGGCCCAGTAAGGAAATCAGGTGTTATGAGATGCTGAGGCTGAGAGCATGACGTGGGGAGATTTTAGTGGAAAAGTAGTACGTCAGCAGCACGGACTCAAAGCTAAGCAAGGAGTGTAGGTGGGTCAGTAGGGCTGGGAGAGGGGCATTTCTTCCTTAGGGTCGGAGTGAAAACACCACCGTAGGAGTGTGATTAGGTGAGGAGACGGGTCTGGCAGGCCTGGAAAGAGGACCTTTCCTCTTGTGAGTTGCCGTCAGCAGAAGAATTAAATAAGAAGGGAGCAGTTTCCTCCAGTGCTCTATTCTCCTAACCCTGCCGCCGCCCCCACCCCTCCCCGTGTCTGCTCCACCCCAGGATGACCAACAGTGGGGGACTGTCCCCCGCCCTGTGAGGACCCTCTGTCAGTGTCTCTGAGCCTAACTTGCCCCACCCCCACCCCCGCCCCGCCTCCCCCATTCCCTGGGGGTAGACCTTTTTAAGGCTCCATGCTCAGCCTTCGTTCGGCCTTTCTGCACCCCAATTGTTTGCACTCATATATTCTCTCTGCTTTAATGGCCACCCTAGTGAAGATGGCTGAACCCGACTCGCCCGGCCCTGACTCACCCTCTTCTCTCCCACAGCGTCTTTTAATGAAAAGACCACAGAACACGACATCAAAAATCCAGAGTAGTCAGACTGGAGTAAACCAGGCCCAGGGTTTACCTAGCCAGTCTCTCTCCCCACACTGCCAGAAAGAGAAATGACAGAGTCCCTGGTTTCCCTGGGAGCAGAGCAGTCCTGGAAGGTCTTCCTCAGTGTCCCCGCCCCTGGACAGCCCTGGGGAAGTCCAGCCTGGCGGATGTATAAATAGGCACCTTGCAGCTCCCTGCCCTAACCCATTCCTTTCTCCCTCCGAAATGGACAAGTCCCTCCTGCTGGGGCTCCCCATCCTGCTCTGCAGCTTCAGAGGTGAGTCCCGGGGTCTGACAGCTGGAGGGGTGTGTGAAGGGTCCGCGGATGGATCAGGGTTCCCATGGCACAGGTCCTCTTACAGGAGCCCTGTGGGGACAGAAGAGGTCATCCTAATGCCATGTCTTCCCCCACAGTGTCCCTGGGAGCTGCACCCAAGCTGCTGCCCTCCCCTTTAAGGGAAACGTTGGTGGATTATAGGAATTGAGAAGATTTTCACAGAAGCTGGGGGCGGGGAGGTTGTTAAAATGCGATCTGCAGAGACTGTATTTTTTTTTCCCCCAACAGTACTCTCTGGGTCATTTTTAGACAAAGAGCATGTACAGTGAGTAGCAACAGATCGGTGGTGTGGGAGCGGGGAAGCCGGGGGTTGCAGGGTGGGGGCGAGGGAGATGGGCAGGGCCAGCACTGGGGATTGAAAGGGATCCAGAGATAGACCCTGAAATTCAACACTCAGCAACCTCTTCCAGGAGGATGGGGCTGAGCTGGGAGCTGGTGTGAAATCTGACAAGGTAACAGGAACGGCAGTTAACAAGCCTTAGGGCCAGTTCATAAAGCACAAGAGAAAGAGCAGGTAGGAAGGGGAATGCTGCCTGTACAAACCAAATCCAAAGTGTAACTCATGCATTTCAGGTGCTTCCAAACACACCCTGGTAAGAAAGCCACATGGGGTCAGTTGAGAATAGAATGAGTTTTTTTTAAAAAGTCCATTTATCTTTTTCCTTCTGGTCTGTGACTCTCCCTACAAGAATGGGTAGGGGGTGTGAGAGGCCACAGAGAGGTGAAGAGTAAGAAAAGGGGGGAAGAGGTGTGGAGGTGCCAGAGACTGGTGACCGAGTTTCGGAGGGACAGAGCCGGCCTCGCGTGGCTCCAGGCTGAGAGCACAGCACGCACCCCATGGGTCCCAAGGGTTAAGGGGGCCTCATGCGGGGGGTGGGGGGGAAATCTCAGAAAAAACTGCAGATTTGTTTTATGTATTCTTTCTCTTTGTCAGTGCAGTCCACCACCTACCTGTTGATCAACATGTTTTGACTGGTGAGTATGAAGGGGACCTGATTTGATCTTCTTGGCCTCGAATTTGTTCCTGTTCCCCTTTCTTTCCCCTCCCATTTCTTTCAGGCTAAAACTCATGAGAACATAAACTCTAGTCCCTCTCTTGGCTTAGCCTCTTTCATTATTACTTTTAAAAAATACTTTATTTCTTTATTTTCAGAAAGAGGGGAAGGGAGGGAGATAGAGAGGGTGAGAAACATCATTGTGTGGTTGCCTCTCATGTCCCCCCTACTGGGGACCTGGCCCGCAACCCAGCATGTGCCCTGACAGGGAATCAAACCCATGACACTTGGGTTCACGGGTGGGCACTCAATCCATTCTTGAGCCACTCCAGCCAGGGAGGCTTAGCCCATTTGAATAGAGGCAGGTGCCCTTGCTGAATGGACCTCTTGGCAAAGCTGCCCAGGCTCCAAGCAGAACCTCAGCCAGAAAAGGGAGATGGGTGCTTTCACAGCATGTGACGTCTGCTCTCACTTCGGTCCCCCTACTCTCCGGTCCCCACTATAGAAATTATCCAGTGTAGGATGTGCCACTTCCAGTTTCCAAGGGAGAGCTGCTTCAAAGGCCGAGGAATATGCACTGCGACAATGGAAGAGTCTTGCCTAACTGGGAGGATTTTCAAAAGTAAGTTGCAGGCTGGGGGAAGAAAGAAGGGGCTGAAGCAGCAGACAGGGACAAGCCAGCCTGAGTGATGAGGAGGGGCCACACTGTACCCCAGGCAGTTGCCCCCGGGAGTGGCTGGCGTCTCCACCCCCATCATGCGCCTTTCTGGAAGGACAGTAGAATGGCAATAGGTGATCACGGAGGGAGCCGGAGAGCAGTGTTCTGAGAAACCTGGAAGACAACAAAGGAGTGGAAACTGGTTGGGGAACAACTGTGCGTGGGAGCCAGGAAGACGGCTTCTTGTTTCTGACCCCGACAGGAATTCCTTATGGGTGGTTTTCAGCCTTCACAAGAGAGGGCGGCGGGCGGGGGGGGGGGGGGGACAGCAATAGAGACTGGCTTCAGTGGCTCTGGCTGAGTGAGACTATAAACATCATGATTTCTCTATTCTCCTACCCTCTATGCTAAGTGACTCCTTGGCATTTATAACCCTTGCTTAAGCCCATGTGGATTCTCAGGGGAAACATCCAGTTTTCTCAGAATTGCTGCTGTCAGGGTGCCCCACCCCCCAGCATTCCTTCCAGCTGCTGGACCGCTGACTTTTGTTTGTGAAGCCCCTTCCAACTCCTCATTGGAATCACAGAGCCTGCGACGACACAAGGTGGCTTTTAGCTACAGGGTCCGGCACAAATAACACCCCTTCTTTTTTATTACAACATCTTTTAGTACAAAAGCATAAACATGTCATTCTGTAACATGACAATATCATACTCAAGCACATGATAGGACATTTTAGGGGGAATGTTCAAATTAAAACTACAGAGTATCACCCCCATATTATTGCCCTGCCAATCACACCGACGCCGGCGTTCCTTCCGCCGGACCGGACCGGTGCCCGTGCCAGGGCACTGTCTGTCCTCTCTCCCACAGATGACGGTTTTGCCTGGATGACCTTCATGGGCTGCCTGAAGAACTGCGCGAACGTGGACCACATGCGATGGGGAGTCTACCTGGTGAATTTCAGGTGCTGCCGGAGCCACGACCTGTGTAATGAGCCCATGACCACCACTGCCCCGACCCTGCCCCCAATCCATATGCGGTAACGTGATTCTGAGTAAGCACGTTGCCAACCGCAAACCCGTCCTCACCGATACTTGCCATGTTCTGGTTTTGTGATCGTGGTCCCCTTAGTGGGTATGAAGTGGCATCTCACTGTGGTTTTCACGTGATGTCGAGCCATTTGTATGTCTTTGGAGAAATGTCTATTCAAGACCTCTGTGCATTTTTAAATCAGCTGGTTGCTCTGAGGACTTCCTTTTATCCGCTGCGTGGTTTCTCTCTCCACGAGTGGCCTGTTCACTGTTGATTCCATCGTTTGGTAGACAGAAGCTTTTGATTTTGATGTAACCCAATTTATCTCTGCTTTTGATGTCAGAGCCAAGAAATCATTGCCAAATCCAATGCCGTGAAGTTTCTCCTTGTTTCTCTTCGGAGTTTTATAGTTTTATGTGTTCTGTTTAAGTCTTTCATCGACATTGGGTTAATTTTTTCTTATTTACAGTTTTTTAAAAAAATTCAATGTATTGGGGTAACATTGGTTAATAACATCGCATAACTTGCAGGTGTGCAAAGCTGTAACTGAGCACCTGTGTGCCCCCACCTGCAGGCCACTTTCCTTTGGTTGCCGGACATGGGCCTCCTTTGCCCCTCCCCCTCCCCCATCTCTCTCCCCCTGCTAACCCCCTTCTTTCTGTATCTGTGCGTTTGTTTTTGTTTGTCTTCTTAGTTTGTTTGTTACTTTTTGATGGATATCCCACATGGGAGTAAAACTGTAAGGGTTTTATCCTTCTCTATTTCACAAAGCATGAACGCTGTCGAGCCCCACCCACGCCATCACAAATGGCAGTATTTTGTCTTTTTATGGCTGAGCGGTGCTCCATGGTCTGTGCAGACCACATCTTCTTTACACAATCTGTCAACACACACTTACTTTGTGTCCATGTTCTCGATATTGTGAATAATGTTGCAACGTACCTAGGGACACATTTATTCTTACGAATAATCGCTTTCCTATTTTCCTGGTAAGTAGAGGGCTATTGGCCTGGAAAAGCATGCTGGACCTGAGTCTAGAACAAGGGCACTTGCTCAGGGGCTGGCCTCCCTGATGGTTCCCACTACTTCTCGTCTGCTCCATGTAAATATATTTTGGTAAGATGTGAAGAACAGGGAAGGGCTTCCACTGGACCAAGAAAATCAGGGGGTGCTGGGTATTGTAACCAGGGCAACCTGAGGGTCAGAATCTCCTGGACATCTGAGCTAGGAAGCATAACAGGGCAGGCTCAGGAAGATGGGACCTGGAGGCCAGCGTGGATATGCTCAAACCTGAGGGCTTGGCCGCAGTGGTTTTCGAACCTTCACTTCAAGCCCAGCTGTAGGTGTGCATGGGTCAGTCTCCATCTGCCTGCACCACTCCCCGCCTGCCTGCAGGTCTTCCTGCTGCCAGGAGGCCCCTGGCCACCTACATTGCGTCTGCTTCTCATCTGAAGCTTCCTCGTAGTGTTTAATTTTGACTTGCCTGAGGCACTAACTGTACATCTCAGGAATCCTTCCATGAATGATTTCATTATTGGAACCCACAGTCAGTAGTACCCTCAGTCTACCCACGTAAACTAATTAACCGGCCCTGAATGGAAGAATCTACTGCATTTTCTACCTCAAGAGGCTGAAGTAGTTAAAGTATTTTCAGGATGCTAAAGTATATTAGAATACTCATTCTAACAATACACAATTTAGGGAGAAATACTAGCATACATATTATGCCAATGTTTTAAAATTAAAACATTGAATATTCCAGTATGTTATCCTGTTTATGCAAATATGACGCGGAAGAAGCCGCAAAGCAAGCACAAGCCTGGGTGTCCGTAGAGACGCTGCTGGACCAGGAAAAATGTGCTGCAGCTAAACATGAACACGATAGTGTATGTAGATTCTAACCCATAGAGAGGTTAACATGGTAAAAAAAATTAAACCTAAATGAAGTGAATAATAAATTAGGGGTTAATTTTTATCATTTCGTGGCCTCATAGTCTGTTCGGAAAACGGCAGTGAAGCTCGGACACTGACCTCTCCTGGCTGGACGGCCTCAGCTGCGGGGCTGCGCGGTGGGTCCGGAACACCGAGCTTCCTCCCGACGAGTGCGTTCAGGGCCACGTAGTATTTCAGTGTCTCTGAGCACCGGGGTGGTGAAGACCTGCAGGAAGCCCGGCGACACAGTGGTTGGCCGACACTCAGCCAAGCACCCATCCTGATAGACTGTATTTTGCCACGTGTAATGTGCAGCCACACTTTACGCGTATTATCCACGGGGTTGTGTAACCGTGGTATGTAATGATTACACCCACATGTAATTCACATCCGTATGTTTCCCTCAAAGATTTGGGTAAAAATTGTGCATTATACATGACAAAATACAGTACTTGGCTCTGGCCCTGAGAGCAAGATGAAATGATCAGAAACACGGTGACCAGGCACCTGTGCACAGGGGACGTGTCATTCAAATCGTTTCTTAAACCACGGGCAGGACTGAGCCTCTCGTGTGCGGGGCACTGACTGCCGCTTCCACGGAAGTGAGCGTTTCCCAACCTCACGCGGACTTTCTCAACCCCCGCTGGCACGGGCCCTCCCAGCCCTTGCCAGAGACCTCCTCCCCTGTCCTCCCAAATATTTCTAATATCTCCTCTGGTTTCTTGCCCAATTTTCCTACCCAGTCTGCTTTCTTCTGACCTTCCCTCACAATCTCCACCAGAAGAAATCACTTTGCTCCCCTTGCCAGAAATGTTAGCACCCTGGCCTCAGCCCAGGGGCAGCACCAGAGCTTCGGGGCCAGGAAAGATGGCCAGAAGGAGCCGGGTGGCAGAGAGAGCGGGTCCGACCAGAGAGCAGAGATGGGGCTTTAGTGGCCCCTGGTTTCACACTTTCCTGGGAGTGGAAGGGCTGAGCCAGGAGAGACGGTGCTTGCATGGGTGGTGGATCTGCAGGCTTAGAGCAGAGAGGGGTCTGGGTGCTGAGGAAATGGGAGCTGATGATGCCGTTGGATGGGAGAAGGGCAAAGGTGACTGAGCGACGTGGTGTAAAAGCACTCTGTGTTGTGCTGTATATATAATGCACACTCATGTTTTTGGGCCAGACTTTCAGGAAAAAACTTTCATTTCATTTCTTAAAGTAATTAATTAATTAATATTTAGAAACAAAAGTGATTGTCTTATTCCAAGGTATTATTTTCCATACATTTGTTTTTATTGGTGTCTAGAGTTACACATATAACACATAATCCTAAATAAAAGAATTGAAAGCATTTACTAGTGTAAAGATACAGAATCAGTACTACTCATGTATAATGCACATCCTCATTTTTCCCTAAAATATTTGGGTATGAAAGAGTGCATTATACATGGCAAAATACAGTCATTATTATAGTTTTGGTCAAGTCGGCCTGTTTTGGTCCGGTGATACATACTCCTTCACAATGTCCATTGTTTCGTCAGGGTCGTTGCACCTGTCGTTGTGAGTGCAGCAAAAGGTTTCTCTCAGGACGTCATGGAACACCTGGAGCATCCCCTGTTCACATGGTTCACAAGAGAGTACGGAATGGCGATACAGATACATCCTTAAAGAACAGAAAAGCAAGTGCAGTCACCTTGCTCCATCCCACCGTTCTCCTGGCAATGGCCTCCGCCCGGAACCAGACGTTTTTTCCGTAGTCTGGAATGGACCCGAGGCTGTGCCTGCATCTCATCTCTGTCTGTGCAGACAGCACTGGGCAAGACAGCTGCCTCCCACACAGCCCCCACCCCAAGCCTGGGCGTGGAGAGCCTGGGGCTCCCCCTCTCTCACAGGGTCCCAGGCTCCACCCACACCTTGACTCCATGAACTGGGGCCAGCAGTGGTAACATTTCATGTCTGTCTCTGGCCCCCACCCACCTGTGAGGCAATCAGTGAAGTAAAAGTGGTCAGTGCGACAGCTCCTGTTTCCCACCATGGCGTTGAACTTCCAGCAATTCTTCATGTGATTGGTGCAATGGGAGCCATTAAAAAAGCTGCATATGTTGCAAAATCAAACCCTTAAAGGAAGATAGTGAGGCTTCAGCCTGTCCCCCACCTGTGAACGCTGAAGCCGAGGTGGTGCAGACTGGTCAGAAGGAGTCCACACCCTCCCCAGCATGTGCTGGAGTCCTGACTCCCTTGAGTGGGGAACAGCTATGACCCTCCCAGAGTCAGAACAGCGCCCCCTCCCCAAGCCTGGGGCAGAGAGAAGACACTAGAGCAGTGAGTGAGGGGAGTGGAGTGGAGTCGGGGAGTGGGGGGAGGCACGTGTGTGAAGAACCCAAGACCGTCCCCCGTGGTTGCAGCATTATTTATCCAAGAACGTCCACGCATACACTTTGTGGGGAGGACTCTGTCTCCTGTGAAGAGAAGAAGGAAAATTCCCTGTGAGCCATTTTCCAGCAGCCCCCAGAGTCAAGCTGAGAGAGCCCTGCCCTCATGCCACAGGTCCTCTCCCCAGGCCTCACTGTCCCCCTCCCCGGACCTCACCCTCGTCCATGAAGAGCACTACGAATATGGCCAGCAGAAGCCCCTGGAGCAGCCTGGGGCCCATGGCTGATAAGGTCCCAGTGGGAGGCTCCAGCTTGCTGCATGCCCATCCCCTGCCCTCAGGCCCCCCACTAGGTCACAGTGGGAGTGTCCTGATAAAGGTCACCTGCCACCAGGGCTTCGTCAGGCTTGTGTGTTGGAGTGGGTAGGGAGACAGACAGCAGTTTCTTCTAGAATGGCCTTCTAAAGATGGCGGCTCAGGCTCCAAGTCGACTGTCAGGTGTTTCTCGGTGGGTGAACAGCAAGAATCTTACTTGGCCTGAGTGAGACCGGGTCCCTCGCTACAATTCTGGGGGCCACAGGCTGGGGAACCTCCAGACAATGCATAGAGGTGCTGGGAAGTTCAAGTTAAATGTCTAGAGACTTTCTCTTGTGTCTCCTCTTCCTTGCCACAGTCTCAAACTCTAGGAGGTTTGCTGGCAACCCATGAGAGCCCTTCCAGATGTCCCAACCTTGGGAACACGCAGTGCTCTCTAGGGGATGGTTGAGAGGACCTTCCAGGGATTCTCGGGGAACTGTCCATTCTCCACCTGAGTCTAAGTCCAGCAGAACACCCCAAGTGTTCACACTCTGTGACAGGAAGTTACCAATAATTTCCTGAAGACCCCAGATCACGTGAGCTCACCCATTGGCCTCTATTCGTTGGGAAGTCAAAAACCTCCTCCTT